AAGGGTTGTTGAGGTGGTTCGGACATGTAGAGAGAATGGAGCGAAACAGAATGACTTCAAGAGTGTATCAGTCTGTAGTGGAAGGGAGGCGGGGTAGGGGTCGGCCTAGGAAGGGTTGGAGGGAGGGGGTAAAGGAGGTTTTGTGTGCGAGGGGCTTTGGACTTCCAGCAGGCATGCGTGAGCGTGTTTGATAGGAGTGAATGGAGACAAATGGTTTTTAATACTTGACGTGCTGTTGGAGTGTGAGCAAAGTAACATTTATGAAGGGATTCAGGGAAACCGGCAGGCCGGACTTGAGTCCTGGAGATGGGAAAGTACAGTTGCCTGCACTCTGAAGGAGGGGTGTTTAATGTTGCAGTTTAAAAAACTGTAGTGTAAAGCACCCTTCTGGCAAGACAGTGATGGAGTGAATGATGGTGAAAGTTTTCTTTTTCGGGCCACCCTGCCTTGGTGGGAATCGGCCGGTGTGATAATAAAAAAATAAATAATAAAATATATATATATATATATATATATATATATTTATAACATATATTATATGTATATATATATATGTATATATAATATATATTATATATTAATATATAATATCTATATTTATAATATATATATATATATATATATATATATATATATATAATATATATATATATATATATATTTATATATATATATACGTATATATATACATTATATGTTGTGTCGAATTGCCAGGAAGTTTTCGACCGAATATGCAATGCAATTTTTGGGGCCATGAATCAGCAAAAAATGGCTTTGAATCTAACTAAATATATGTATAATTAATTATGATTATTAATAAATTGATTTAGACTGACCTATAATATTTTTATCAGAATTTAACTCAAAAATTAGGCTAGTTTAGGCGAGGTTTCTAAATAAGGTTTGGTCTATTTATTTACATTATTATCAAAAAAAAAATCCATCAATTTGCAGAAACTTCGGAAAGTCGATTTTTTTAGGGAGTTTGGCTCAATATATTTATATGGAAAACTACCACGGGGGGATGGGGAAGGAAATCGTGGCAAATACGGTCACAGGGAACGTCCTCGCTGGAGTGAGGCAGAGAGAAGGGAGGCAGCAGGCAGGCAGGATGTGCCCCCAGGCATAACAATACCCATAGCCAGAAAAGTTGAATATTATAACCTTAGAAAAACACCCAGCCCACAAGCGCTGATAGTGGAATAGTAACCTGATTCAAGTGACTTGGCTTGTACAAAAGTTCGGTCAGACCTGGCTATGTTATAAGTAACATCACACACTAACTATATAGCCAGTCATATAGATATTACTGGCAGTTATCTTAGGAGTTTCTACAGTCGAGAAAACGGGTCCATTAAAGGGACACATTTAATGAAAGACATTTGTAAATATACAAAGGGAGGCAGATGCTGGATATGATATAAATGACTTTACGTACCAAATCTATATAGATGGATCTGGTAGTTGTCTTAGGAATTTCCGCTTCTCCAGAAAGGGGCCCATTAAAATGGACTCATTTAAAGGGGAGCCATCTGTAATTTCAAGGAAGACATCCATAGTTATCATCCCACAGGATTTTAAGACAAACTCTGGTTCAACCCTTAGAAAATACAGGAAGAAATTAGACCAGATTACTATGTGTAGAACTAAATTTTAGACAGTACAGTGCACTCATTTAAGAGCCCGATTTTTGACTAGGTACAATTACCTCAACTTAAAACGAATCTAATTTGAACAACCTGCCACTGTTATTGTATGATGAATGCTTTTCATGCTTAATAATCACCGATTCTACAATATTCCTTTCAAGCTAAGTGGAACAAGGAACGATGACTCTTGCTTCTGAGCAGTTTACTAAGTTATTGCAAGCTCTAATGTGGCTGAAAATCATGTTTGACTCTTGTGCAGTATGTATTGAATAACTGCGTTGTGATATTCTGACATCTAAAAGTTTGCCAATCTGTCCTACATAGGATAAGTTGCAACTGCTGCAACCAGTTCTGTAGTGGAAGTTTTAGCAGTAAAGATCTAGAACCAAAATCTAGTCATTGTGGTAGTCTACAAGCCTCCAGATGCAACGTCCCAACAATTCCAGGAACAGCTGTTGAAAATTGACCACTGTCTGGAAAATCTTCCAGCTCCTTCCCCCAACATCTTGCTTCTGGGGGATTTCAACTTAAGGTACCTAAAATGGAAGAATATAGCAAATAATGTTGTTGCAGTGATAACACCAGAAGCAGCTCAGATCAGAACTCACACACACACGAGCTTTTAAATCTCTGCACAAAATTCAACTTAAACCAGCAAATAATAGAGCCTACTAGACTGGAGAATACACTGGACCTCATCTTCACTAACAATGATGATCTGATACGAAATGTCTCCATATCAAAAACAATATACTCAGATCACAACATAATCGAGGTTCGGACATGAATACGCGGAGCCCCAGACTGACAAAATAAGATCAGTCACGAGGAAGCCTTCACCAAATTCAACTTCAATAACATGAACATAAAGTGGGACTAAGTAAACCAAGTCCTAAACGATATAAGCTGGGAAGATAGACTAAGCAACACAGACCCCAATGCATGCTCAAGGCTTATTCCTTCAAGTAAAAGGAGGAGTAGATGTAAAATAGAAAGAGACAGGCGCTCCCTTTACAGGTGACAGAAAAGAATAACAGAGCGGCTAAAAGAGGCAAATATATCTGAAATGCATAGAGACACTGGTCAGAGAAATAGCAAGCATCGAACTTAAGCTAAAGAAATCTTATAGGAGTCAGGAATCGCAGGAAGAACTTAAAGCCATAAATGAAATCGAAAGAAACGCAAAGTATTTGTTTTCTTATGCCAAATCAAAGTCGAGAACAACATCCAGTATTGGGCCCCTACTTAAACAAGATGGGTCCTACACATATGACAGCAAGGAAATGAGTGGGCTACTCAAGGCCCAATCTGACTCAGCTTTTAGCAAGCCGCTAACCAGACTGAGAGTCAAAGATATAAGTGAATCTTTTACGAGAGAGCCACAGAATTTGGTAAACACAAGCCTATCTGATGTTATCCTGATGCCAAATGACTTCGAACAGGCGATAAATGACATGCCCATGCACTCTGCCCCAGGGCCAGACTCATGGAACTCCATGTTCATCAAGAACTGCAAGAAGCCCCTGTCACGAGCTTTTAACATCCTATGGAGAGGGAGCATGGACACTGGGGTCGTCCCACAGAGACATAGCCCCACTCCACAAAGGGGGCAGTAAAGCAATAGCAAAGAACTACAGACCGATAGCACTAACATTCCATAACATAAAAATCTTTGAAAGGGTCCTAAGAAGCAAGATCGCCACCCATCTAGATACCCATCAATTACACAACCCAGGGCAACATGGTCGCTTCTGTCTGTCCAAACTACTGGATCACTACGACAAGGTTCTGGATGCACTAGAAGACAAAAATAATGCAGATGTAATATACACAGACTTTGCAAAAGCCTTCGACAAGTGTGACCATGGCATAATAACACACAAAATGCGTGCTAAAGGATTAACAGGAAAAGTTGGTAGATGGATCTATAATTTCCTCACAAACAGAACACAAAGAGTAGTAGTCAACAGAGCAAAATCTGAGGCGGCTACGGTGAAAAGCTCTGTTCCACAAGGAACAGTACTCGCTCCCATCTTGTTTCTGATCCTCAGAGCTGTCATAGACAAGGATGTCAGCCACAGCACCGTGTTTTCCTTTGCAGATGACACCCGAATCTGCATGACAGTGTCTTCCATTGCAGACACTGCAAGGCTCCAGGCGGACATCAACCAAATCTTTCAGTGGGCTGCAGAAAATAATGTGAAGTTCAATGCTGAGAAATTTCAATTACTCCGATATGGTAAACATGAGGAAATTAAAACTTCATCAGAGTATAAAACAAATTCCAGCCACAAAATAGAGCGAAAAACTAACGTCAAAGACCTGGGAGTGATCATGTCGGAGGATCTCACCTTCAAGGACCATAACATTGTATCAATCACATCTGCTAGAAAAATGACAGGATGGATAATGAGAACCTTCGAAACTAGGGATGCCAAGCCCATGATGACACTCTTCAGGTTACTTGTTTTATCTAGGCAAGAATATTGCTGCACACAAACAGCACCTTTCAAGGCAGGTGAAATTACTGACCTAGTAAATGTACAGAGAACCTTCACGGCACACATAACGGAGATAAAACACCTCAATTACTGGGAGCCCTTCAAGTTCCTGAACCTGTACTCCCTGGAATGCAGGCGGGGGAGATACATGATTATATACACCTGGAAAATCCTAGAGGGACTAGTACCGAACTTGCACACGAAAATCACTCACTACGAAAGCAAAAGACTCGGCAGACGATGCAGGGGTGTCACTAGCACGTTAAGAGACAATACAATAAGTGTCAAGGGCCGGAGACTGTTCGATTGCCTCCAAGCATACATAAGGGGGATTACCAATAGACCCCTGACTGTCTTCAAGCAGGCACTGAACAAGCACCTAAAGTCGGTACCTGACCAGCCGGGCTGTGGCTCATACGTTGGATTGCGTGCAGTCAGCAGTAACAGCCTGGTTGATCAGACCCTTATCCATCATGAGGTCTGGCCACAGACCGGACCGCGGGGGCATTGACCCCCGGAACTCTCTCCAGGTAAACTTCAGGTAAACACACTGTTGGGGTAAATTCTTTATCAGAATACTTATAACGATCTGTGAATTCTTAAAAACTATTTGTGTATCAAATCTTCTAAGAATTGTTAGGCAGGACAGACAAATTCTCATTATATGAGAGAACTAGCACACTCTTGGTCTAAGGATTTTATCCTAGGTTCTGTTCTGTAATAAGTTTTCGTAGCGTCCATCAGTGCAGATTCCATGAACTCCTTAGGAAAACAGTTTCATGACAATCTCAAATATTTTCATAATTTCTTCAACTTGGAACTCCGAGCTGCACACTTTGTAAGCTCTCAGAAATATAATAAGAAATACACTCTTTTCAAGTCTTGTCTTATGGTTGGAGTAGTAGTGAATGTATGAGCACACAATGGTGGCCTTCCTATATACTGTAAACTTAAATTTTTATCAACCCAATGTATTAATACATCTATGAATGGAAGTTTAGAGACCTTCTCTTTCTTCACAGTGAATTTAATAGACGGGGCTAAAGTGTTAAATCTTGGTAAAATTGTATCCAGGGTCATATCATCTGGACAAAGACACAAAATATCATCCACATATCTGAACCATTCAGCTGTAAAGGACAGAATATCTTTCAACAACCTAACCTCGAAAACTTCCATATACACTGCATGCAGCCAGCAGTAACAGCCTGGTTAATCAGGCCCTGATCCACCATAAGGCCTGGTCACAGACCTGGCCATGGGGGCGTTGACCCCCGGTACTCTCTCCAGGTAAACTCCAGGTAATCAGATTGCTCAGTAGGAAACACAACAGATTATCCAAAGTCATTCCCTGCCCTTAAGCATAATATTTCCTTTCAAACTCAAACTTGCAGTCAACTACACACAACTTAGTTCATTAATGGTATTTTTATCAAAAGGTACACAGAACTCGTCTAATTCTTCTTCCAAATAGGATAGCAAGTCAGGGACAGGGACTCTCGTCAACAATGCGGTGACATCAAAACTTACTAGTACAAAATCATTAGACATGTTGATATTTTGCAATTTGTCAATTAGATCTACATTGTTTTTATGTGTGCTTCAGAAATGTTGCCAAGCTATTAAGTTAATATTTTTACCAGCCATTTTGACAAGGCAATGTGTCCCGTTAATGGGCCCGTTTTCTCGATTGCAGAACTCCTAAGATAATCGTCAGTGATATCTACAATCACTGGCAGTATAATAAGTACGTAATATTATTTATATCATAATGTAGTCTGACTGAATTTTTAATAACTGCCAAGTCACGTTCGTTATGCTACTATTGCAATATTAATGTTTGTGGGCTGGCTGTTTTTCTTATGCTATAATATATCTGAAATACGAATGGACGCACTAGTCAATCAAATTGCAAATATCGAACTTAAGCTGAAGGAATCTTACAGGAAATTGAAAAAAAAATACTTCTTCTCTTATGCCAAATCTAAGGTAAAAACAATATCCAGTATTGGGCCGATGCTGAGGCGCGATGGGACATACACAGATGAACAGCCAAGAAATGAGTGAGATACTGAAGACCCAATATGACTCAGTGTTCAGGGAGCCACTGCCCAGACTAAGTGTAGACAGCCTGTACTGTCAGAACACACAGCCTAGCCGTCTGTTCTGACTAGTTCATATTTTGCAGCATTTAAGTGCTGCCCTCTATAGGCTCACCCAGGTCAGTGGGAGGCTGAGCCCATTCGGTCTCACTCCTAGGCCGACCGACCTGATAGGCACAAGTGCTCCCCCTCCACAGACTGGCTTGCGGTCACTCCCTCACACTGCCCATTGTGTACTCACTCCTATCCAATTAAAGCCAAACTAGTCCACGGCCATATCATTGCTACCTACGCTACCTTCACCGGCACTAAACTGCTGTTCAGCAGCAAGAACATTAATAACAGTGGTGATAGTGGAGTCAACGGCATTGTGAGCCTACTCGGGGTGGAGGGGTCGACGCCTGTCAACACCATCGGTCGATGCCAGTCAACATCATCCGATCGTCATCCAATGCACCTGCTGGCCTAAAGAGTTATCTGTTACTCCCAGCGTCTTGACAGGGCATGAGATAGATCTTCGTCCTAGATTTTTCCCACAAAATCTGGACATAGGTGTCACGGCGTCATCTTCAGCCTTAGCAGTCACGTATTCATGTCATCACCCTCTCTACAGCCCTTCAACACTCTCCAGCACCATTCTCCTGCCTCCTACAGCATCCCTACGCCCTTCTCAGCTACAAGAGGTGAGGTCGTTTAGTGTGTTGGCTTCGCGTGGCTCCACGCGTGACCACGAGGTGGCTCTGGGGTTGTTTGATACCCTAGTCAGTGTGTAAACACACCAGCCTCCTCTACAGCCTTCTCTGCTATGCAACTACGTCCATCTCACCGTCCATGTGTGTTGTGTTCTTCCCAGTTTCCTCCAAGAAGTTCTATCTGGCTTAACCATGTGGGAACCCAGTTGGCCTAGCCCCTAAGCCAGTTTAGTTCAGCCCCCACGCCGTCTACAGCAGCTCGTGACTCATCATTGTGTCTACAACTACTCAGCGTCTACGTATCTCCAGCCAGTGCAGTTTTTTTGTGTTGCCCAGTTAAATTTTTTCTTTCCCTTGCTGTTACATTCCCAGTTCATCACCAGTTTTGTTTTTCCCCAGTGAATTGTTACAGTTAAACCTCCTCGTACCAGTTCATAGTTTCACCTAAGTTTGTTTTTAGCACGTTCGAGTAGTGCAGTAAATGTTTTGTTCTCCGTGTGCTGAAGCCGCAGTCAGTCAGCGCGCCCAAACACGCTTGCCAGTGTAAACAAACCATGCACAGCTGTGGATCACGCCGAGTTAGCCACGTCCTTCTCATATCTTATACCTTCACAGAGTTCCCCGGCCTTTCCTGTTCTTCCCAAGTCCATTCTGATCATTTTTCCTATGACATTGAAGCCCCATAGCAGCGTACAAATGCTACGAGGCGTGTAGTGTTACTAGAGCATCACTGAAAGTTTCAGGACCTGCAGCACCCAGTACCTTCGTCCATCTCCTGCACTCAAAGTTAAGTAAACAGTGACTTAGCATTTCCTAATATTTTGTGACATTATTTAACTGTCCTGCACCAATACAGTTGTCGCTGAAGTCATACTTCAGTAAATTGTTCAGTTTGTCATCAGTGCACATTTTGCCCACTTACCCACAGCTTCTTAAATTTTGTACATTTATTTTGCACTCCTACATTTTAAATTCCAGTATTTTATTCTGCATCTTGCACCTCAGTTGTTATTGATTTAAATTGTTCAGTGTTAACCATTTATACAATTTACCTCTCACATACAGTTTGCAAGTAATTCTTGTGTGCTGTTATTTTGTTAGTTGCACCTGCAAGTTAGCCACAGATTGTTGACAACCCTGCACTGTTTTGTTTGTTAGTGTGTTTTTTTTCTTTTAATAAGCGTAATCTTCAAGTACTTAAGTATTAGCTTATTCTACCTGCAGTGATACAACTCTGTGCCAAGCCCATTACACTTTTCTCCTGTTTCCCCATTTATTTGCTCTACATATATTCTATGTTTTATCTGTGAATATTCACCATATGTGCATTATATTTTGCTATTTTGTATACCCAAGTCATTTTTGTATACCCAAGTGCATTTTTGGGAACCTGCTTATTTACCATTGATTACCAAAATTACTTGTGAAATTCATTAATTTTGACCTAGAGATCGTGAAATTTTTGTTTTTGCCAGTGTACACCCTGCTAACACCAGTGTACACCCTGCTAACACCAGTGTACACCCTGCTAACACCAGTGTACACCCTGCTAACACCAGTTAACCTTTGCCCTATTATTGAATTTAATAATTTGCATTTTTATTAATTTTATTTTGTGCGCAATATAGCATTTCTTGATACAGTGTATTTTTTTTTTCTGTGATTTTTGGCACAGTCCCATTCTCTGATATCTTTGCTGTGTCAACTTCCCTTTGTGCAAGTGAATTACTTTTTTTTGCATTCCAATTTGCAACTGCTAGCACCTGCAATATTTTTAAACTGTGCTTGCAGCACAGTTTAGTGTTGTGTAATACCTGATTTATTTTAAATTTTGTGCAATTTTTGCTACCAGTGTTTACAGTTCAACTCCTTTTCATAAATTTTGTTGCCAGTCTCCTTGTGAAATTATTGACCACCCTTAGCATCATTTTGTGCACTTCCTTGTAGTTCATTCACTTGCATACATCTCTTATTTTGTGTTTCAGAGTGTACCACTATTTTTTTTGTTGTTGTTTTGCTCAAATTATTTCCATCACTAGGCAGTTTACCTAGTACCGTGGTGCTGTGTTCTCTCTGACTCTGTGTTGAATTGTAGCCAGTGCATACCATTTCTTGCTCTGACCTGTTTACCCTCTTCGTGACCTACTTGCATTTGAACAATTGACGTCATGACTAAGACACGCAGTGGCCGTACCGTAGTCCAGATTCTGCTTATGCTAGCAATGGTGCCTCGGCCAGCATGATCACGCAGCAGGGCATCAAAGCCCCCGTGACAGTTGGTCAAGTTGTGGCTCAAGTCTTGACCACCAGTGGGCCGGCTAATCGTCCATACCCGACCCTTCTTTTTGATGGTTGTTCAAATAGGTTAGAGCCATGGCTGCAGTCAGTCTAGACGACTGTTAAGGCCCAATTTGATAGTCCAACGGACTCACTGTACATTCGTGCTGCTGTTGCAGCAGTGGATCTCACCCGGGATGATATAGGTGCCTTTGTGCAGCTCAATCGTGTTTGAGATTCAGTCTTGGACGAGCTTAAGGAGGAATTTAAGCGTTATTTTCGGCGTAGTCGCCAACGCCATTACATTAAGATCGTTACCAGCATCTTGGCCGAATGTCAATAATGGCACGAAAGCCCCTTGGCTTGCATTTGCCGGTTTGAGCAAGCCGCCAAAGATTTTACTGATGCCATCCGCTCCACTAAGTGGGTGAATGGTGATGACTGTATTAAAGCTAAAGACATCATCCCCATGTTGGCTGTAGGCATCATGTGGAGGGATGCCCCCCTAACCTCCAGGGTGCCATTGATGCGCTAGGACTCGGCCCTCAGCACGACGTCCTGGGTGCATACGATGCCATTGACGCGATCGAGCCGCCTGCCAAGCAAGGCAAGGTTTGTCGCTTTTGTGGATGATCCTATACCCATCCTTCCGGCGCCATCCACAGTGACCCCGTGGGTGCAGCCGGAAGTCACTTTTGCCGCCGCTGTCAGACAGCCACCCCACAAAGTTTCTAACCCAGTCCCACTAACACTCGCCCAAGTAAAAATATTGACCACAGTAACAACAGTCAGTCTCATACAAAAAAGCAGTTATCGACTTCCTGGACCAAGGCAAAACGTTGTCAGCAAACACCACCTCCAACCTCACCTGCTAAGCGCGTAGTGACTTGTTTCAACTGTGGCAAACGCGGGCACTACCGATCGGAGTGTTACAAACCTAAGCCCCCGCAAGGTAACTGTCACCATCCCCACCCTCAGTATCAAAGTAACCGTCATCATCCCCATGCTCAGTATCAAAGTAACCGTCACCGTCCCCATGCTCAGTCTCGCGAGGGAGTCTGTATGTACCACAACACTTCCAGTCATACCTCCAATGAGTGTAACAAGCTGCGAAGTATGCTGTCAGCTGAGTGGAGCAAGCAGTCGTCGTGCAATGCACGTGCTAGTAGAAGCCCTTCCACTAGTTCGGGGGAAGAGGCGCTTCCGAGAATCCAGCGAAAGACATAGTAACCCTGTCGGAGTCACTGTATTCCATCCCTGTCCGCAATGCATTCGCCACCCTGGGCAGTGATATGCTTGCCAACAGTGAAGAAACAGTGTCTTGATGTTGTTGCCGAGACTCGTACCGTACCTTCCAGGTCGAGCCTCGTCAACAAGCATCGAGCCTCAAGCAGCTGTGACTCCGGGGATTTTGTCGGCCTGTCATGCCTTCACGTTCGGTATGACAACCCGTGTGGACCGCTCGTTGAGCCCACTGTCCACCATAAGCCTGTCCAGCTTTTCCTAGATACAGGTTCGGTGGTTAACATTGTCCGCTCCATTCTTTTCCGAGACATTGGCCTTCACGCAGCCATGTTGACAGAGCCGTCTGTCATTCAGACCTTGAGAGGAGTCTCAGGTAATCCGCTGACGGTTCGTGGTCGTACAGCGTTAGAATTTGCGGTCCAGGGTCACAAGCTGTCTGCAAAATTCTTAGTCGTAGATGGTATTGTTTTCCCTGGTGACCTGCTCATAGGGTTCAAAACCATGGCAGACCTTAGGATCCGCTTAGATCCAGCTGACTGGAAAGCAGAATTCAACGGAGTGGATGTGCCCTTCTGAGGCGTGCGCTTAGGATCCACTACATGCTACTCTGTCTCAGAGTATGCACAGTGCCTGGAATCGTTGGAAACCCGTGGTTTCCATAGCACATTCTCCCCGGGGTCGGTCTCTTGTCCTGATCGACCTCGTAGTAGAGCTCGTTGCCCGTCACCTCCTGGCCATCAGTGCTTAGTTACCAGTGAACCCCAGTCTGGGGATGCCCAGTCTAACCTTCACTCTAACTCTGATGCCAGTTTGAATGACCTGTTGCAGAACATCGACAATAATAAGGTCTTTTCAACTCTTGATCTTCTTCAAGGGTTCTGGCAGATCCCCCTCGATGATGAGAGCAAAGAGTTGACAGCTTTCTCTATGCCAACTGGTCATTACCAGTTCAGGAGGATGCCCTTTGGCTTGCGCAGAAGCCCAATCACATTTAGTCGTTTGATGACGACAATTTTCCGTACCCTCCTAGGTGGCACGTTCATGGTCTACCTAGATGATCTCATAGTCATGTTGCAAGATATCCCGACACATCTCGAGAAACTTGACAGGGTATTGGACAGGCTAGCTCAGGCAAACCTTAAGGTAAAGCTCTCCTAATGTCATTTCCTCCAGAAGGAAATAAAATTTCTGGGTCACGTAGTGACTCAGAATGTCATAAAGACAGACGAGTCTAAAATCTCGGCCCGTGCAGAAATTCCCCAGACCCATGACGGCGGATGCAGTCCGGTCCTTCATAGGCCTGGCGGGTTTCTACCGCACCTTTATCGCAGGTTTCTCCACCATTGCTGCACCCCTGACATGCTTACTCAAGAAGGATGCCCCTTTTGAGTGGACGTGTGATCAGGAACGAGCTTTTGTCACTCTTAAGAACAAGTTAACATCAGCCCCAACCCTTAGATTCCCTGATT